TGTTTTTTAAACGACTCAAATATCGACACATGTAAAATAACACATATAGACACGGTGCCATATAAGGTATACATAGAGACTTTGTACCAGTATATGGACCGTAGTCATGTTACATGTGTACATTTTTGTGGAAAACAGATCTAACCGCCGCTCCAAAACATTGTTAGTTTTTGACGATTATGGGTAACGACATAGGCGATCGGTTGTTTCTATCTTTGCACGCATGGTATTTAGTAAAAAAAAAATGTTTATTTTTATTTCAATCTACGTAAACTTTTCAATGCGTACAGGTTTAGTTTGATATTTGCTGTTTCAAAAAATGTATATGTTGTCCATTTGATTTCATCTATCCTTATAGACAATTCGAATTTCTGTTTTATTCTTAAACTACTTCTCCTGTCTAGTAATTATGCACACCCCAATCCAGGCCCTGATGTTCACACAATTTCGTACTGTACCCTTAGAAATAATAAAATAGAATATCTGGAACATATAGCATTGGATTTTAATGTAGTTTGTATTGCTGGGACTCACCTTGATTTATCCATAGAAGATGATGACATACTCCTAGATGGTTATAACTTGTTTCGTAAAGACCGTGGAACTCCGGGTGGTGGGTGGGGGTGAATGTTTACACTTCTAGCCTCCTGTGCACACGTCGTAGAACAGACTTAGAATTCCAGATAGGTAAAGTTGTAAGGGTAGAGATCCAGTTTCCAAATAAAAAAAAGTATACCTATCATGCACAGTCAATAGACCTCCAAACACAATTTCTGGAACTTTTTTCGACACTCTGTAGAAACAGCTTTGAATGAGACACCATATATTGTAATAGTTGGTAATATAAATGTAAACCTCCTGGTATAGCAGTTAATAACCACGCACTTATATATATTATGTAAACTCTTTCCACCTCTCGATTGTAATTGACAGACCGACTAGATTTGAACGCACGTGCTGCTCGCTCCTTGACCCCATTCTTCTATTGGACACGTGTACTATTAAGATATCGGACACTATTGACATAGACCGCGTCAGACTTTCAAGAGACATGTGTAGATTTGAAAATAGGGACAACTAGCATTAGGAGCTATAAGGGAGGAATACTACGCTATATAGATGCTGACTACGAACGTTTTAACCCCTCATAAGAAGAAACTGACTGGGACGAACTTTTTTCGAGAACCCCTACCCCGGACGATGTTTAGAAATAGCTAAAGACTGCATTCCATCAAAAATAGTTATTGTTAGACCCAATGACAAACCCTGGTTCAATTCTGACCTGAGACGTGAAATAAGGACTATAAAACTAATCGCACTCCTCATAACTTAAACAACTTTTGGAAACAGCGGAATAGAGTTCATAATCTTAAAAAAAAACCCGGACAAATAAATTGTTTTATGCGGACATTAATGGACTTTTAGACAATTACATCGATATGAAACTTTTTTGGAAACTTGTCCGCAGATTGATAAAAACTTCTAATACTGTACCACCATTGAGGAGTGTGACTGGTATTATAGACATGGATGACGACATCAAGACCAACATACTCAATGACTACTTTGTTTCTATATCTACTATTGACGATACTGACACTGACGTACCTGGCATAGAATCTAGATCCGACTCGAAAATTTCTGACATAGCTTTTTATATTTATGATATTATTGACATACTCAAATCTGTAACTATTGGTAAAGCTGTAGGGAAAGATTCAATCAGCCACACTATGCTTTAGGACTTTCCACCCTTCGTAATATACATGTTTTTCTTGTCGTATTTTCGTGTCGTCATTTCCGTAATGCGTATAGTACGGGGCATTCAATTACCGTAGTGTAAATTATAGTAATACCGGATAAACAATGTAGTATATGTGCGTGACGATGATATGTCAACATGCGATATCAAGAATTCACTGGGAAATGTGTAATCACACGTACTTCAGAAAGAAAGCTGATGATACAAAGACATTAATTAACTCACTGGAAGGCATAAGATCAGAGGACTTCAAGAAGGTCGTATATGAGGCGCATGGAATGCAGACTGATGTGTTTTTGTTTACCGGCTTCACCTGTACATATCACGTGCTCTCTACGACTTTTGTTGTCGAGCGAGTTTCGTTCTGTCATATAAATCATTTCACAAATGCAATTGCAATAACTCTGTGAAAAAAGTGGTTTGTAAAATATCAAGATCCCTATAAAACGAAGCGCATGTACGTGCACGTGATAACGGCATACCATACGATAGCCTATGTATACCATGCGTAAGCGGCCTATGGAATGATGTCCAACGTGTACATGATTGAGAGAGAAAAAAATTCGTGAAAGAACAATAAATTGACGATTTGATATAGTAATTTAATGTATTTCCTCTGTTATTGGTATTCCGTCTTTGCGTATTGCAGAGTTATCTTCTCTTGGGAACAGGTATTGATTGTTACGTCATTGGTTTGTGTGAGAAAATTACGTCGTTTTCTCAAAAATTGTTGACGTTACTCTCACAAACAAGTGACGTAACAATCAATACCTTCTCCCAAGAGAAGATAACTCTGCAATATGCAAAGACGGAATAGTAATGAAAATAGCTGTCATTGTATAAATTCTATCCCTCAGCAAAAAGTTCCGATTTTTATCAAGGTAGACAACTCTCATCAAGATCAAAATTATTGTAAAATGTAAAATAAATGAAATATAAAGACTTTGTGTGTATTTGGTTCAAATTTTCACTCTTTTTGTATGAAACTGTGTGTCCTGTTTGCTTTAAGCTTGTTTATAACTACTTTTATCCATACAATTTGTATAGAAAATGCTTTTTGTGTAACATGTTGTAGATATTTTATGATAAATAAAATATTTGGAGGGTTGATTACCAATGCTTCTTTTCATTATTTTATTGTTGTAATAGTTTTGAACAATGCCGTACAATTAAAAAATGAGAAAGTGTTAAATATGACAAAAATCTCAAGTTTATCGGAATGCTTAGATTTCATAAAATCATCTCTACATAGTGACATAACCATTGTGTGAATCGTTCTTTGAATTCTGCTGGTTAATTGCGAAAGGGTGGAGCCTCCTTAAGAACATTGCAAATGAAGTTGCCTACCCATTATATTTAATTATTCGCTCTTCTTTGGAAACTGGAACTTTCCCCAAACAATGGAAACACGCCATAATAATGCCATTTTTCAAAAAGTGAGAAAAGTAAGACCCCTCAAACTATAGACACATTGCACTACTTAGTACCATTGCTAAAGTCTTGGGAAGATTAATAGCGAAATATTTACATAATTATCTGTCAGACCATTCTCTAATATATAAATACCAGTCAGTATTTCAGCCAGGTCATTCTACTGTACAATAACTTATTGAAATATACCATAAAGTGTGTTACAATCTGGGGAAAAAACAAGCCACATGTCTAGTTTTCTGCCACATTTCTTAAGCATTTGAAAGGGTTCGGCACAGGGGGCTGAAAATGAAACTGTCAAGTTATGGAATTTCAGGAAAATTATTGAATTGGTTAATGAACTATATAACAAATAGATCTCAACAAGTATTCATTGGAAATCGTAAACCCTCTGTAAAGACAACAAATGCAGGTGTGCCTCAGGGTTCGGTTCTTGTTCCGTTGTTGTTAATACTATATATCAACGATATAACTGACAATCTAGACAGTCTTTCGATACTTTCGAAACTCTTTGCAGATAATGCTTCTCTTTAATGCTCTGATAAATCTCTCAAGAAATCGAACAAAACAAAATAGGGATCTCGGAAAATACAATTGTAGGCTGGTAGGTTGTTAGTTAAATAACAGAGGCCTTACTTGTATCCAATATCGAGTTGGATAACATCATTGAAATTAATTCTAACAATGTAAATATAGACTTTGTAGACAATCATAAGCATCTAGGAGTAATCATTGATGCTAACTGTAAGTGGGGCTGTCATATTGAAAATATTTGTAAAAAAGAAGTGAAACAATTGGGTATCCTCCTTAAATTTAAATATACGCTTAGCCGATGTACACTTAATAAAATATATAGATCTTTCATTCTTCCTAATCTAGAATATTACTGTGAACTATGGGATGGTTGTTCTCTTGCCGATGCAGATAAATTAGAGAAGTTACAACTGGGGGCTGGACGTATTGTCACTGGTTTACCTTCATACACTAGAAAAGTTACAACTGGAGGCTGGACGTATTGTCACTGGTTTACTTTCATACACAAGAGAAGTTACAACTGGGGGCTGGACCTATTGTCACTGGTTTACCTTCATACACTAGAGAAGTTACAACTGGGGGCTGGACGTATTGTCACTGGTTTACTTTCCTACACAAGAGAAGTTACAACTGGGGGCTGGACGTATTGTCACTGGTTTACCTTCCTACACTAGCAGACGAGCTATACTGTACGAAACAGGATGGGAATCTTTATCTCAGCGCGGAGATCCCGTCGTCAACTTCAGCTATTCTTTAAGATTCATAACAATCTAACTCCTAATTATCTCAACACTCTACTCCCCCTTCTTGTATCAAAAACTTCACAACACAATTTAAAAAATTCTGACCTTTACAACCTGCCTAACAATAGATTTGAGGCATCCAGCATGTCGTTCTTCACTTTTACAATAAGACTTTGGAATCAGTTACCCTTTGATATCCGACATTGTATATCATACTCGGCATTCAAAAACGCTATTCAAGATAGTAACTCTCTCTCTCTCTCTCTCTCTCTCTCTCTCTCTCTCTCTCTCTCTCAATCTCAATCAATGAATACAATACATTAATAACATATTTTTTTTCTTACCATCATGTGACAATTGTGTATTATTTTATTTGTCTGTATTACGGGAGAAGTCAATTCATAAGTTGGAAAAAACTTACCGACTAATCCCTTTTTCAATATGATGTCAATAAAATATGTTTAAACTAAAAATATAACATGAACACGAAAATCGTTTTGATGATATTTTATTGATTACATGATTGTTACTACACAAAGTACACAAAAGCAAAACTGACCAGTAAAAAAATGGACAGAACTGTGCATGTTTGTAATTCAATTGAAACATGTTTGTAACTTACCAATCTAATAAAAAAAAACGAATATTTATATATTTGACCTAAGCTCACTAACAATCTGCAACCACAAAGCTACACCTGGGCATTTCAATTAATACAATAAACAATACAATTACACTGTATCACTGGTCAAAAACCATTCCTATTGGAACTAATCGTGACAAAAACCCTAAGACAGCCAAATCGAGGCTGTGACGTCAATCACATTTCTATTCCATCACCGACTGCCCTCCACACTCTTCTCTTTGAACGGAACAACGAATCTGCAATGAAATTAATAGATAAAATGAATTACAAAATTTCATGTTAACCTAATGCACAATCTGTCCGTTCTCCAATGCAGAATTTGTTATCATGTAGTGTAGTATGGACATAAAGAGAAATTATTTTAAATTATTTGCATTAAATTGATTAATCAAAATTAAAAAAATACATTCTTATGTTTTTTATTTTGGGGAGGAACGTACCTAGCGCAGAAAAGGTAACCTACCTATAGTGAGGAATGAGTACCTAGTGAGGAACATAGTACCAACCTAGCAAGGACATTTTACCTAGAGAGGGATATAGTACCAACCGAGTGAGTGACATAGTACCTAAAGAGAGGAAGAGTATACCTACCTAGCAAAGGACAAAGCACCTAGTGAGTGACAGTGTTCCTAGCGAGGGACATAGTACCTAAAGATAGAAAGAGTATACCTACCTAGCAAAGGACAAAGCACCTAGTGAGTGACAGTGTTCCTATCGAGGGACAAAGTACCTAAAGAGAGGAAGAGTATACCTACCTAGCAAAGGACAAAGCACCTAGTGAGTGACAGTGTTCCTAGCGAGGGACAAAGTACCTAAAGAGAGGAAGAGTATACCTACCTAACAAAGGACATAGCACCTAGTGAGTGACAGTGTTCCTAGCGAGGGACAAAGTACCTATAGAGAGGAAGAGTATACCTACCTAACAAAGGACATAGCCCCTAGTGAGTGACAGTGTTCCTAGCGAGGGACATACATGTAGCACCAATCTAGCAAGGAACAGAGTACAGTATTACCTCGAGAGAAAGAGTACTGTACCTAGCAAGGGACATGAGAGCTAGTGAGTGACAGTGTTCCTAGCGAGGGACAAATTACATAGGAAGGGAAATAGTTCCAACTTAGCAAGGGACAGAGTACCTAGATAAGGATATAGTAGAGGCAGAGTACATACCTAGCGAGGGACAGGGTACCAGTAGTTGATCTGACGCTGGATGCACACTGGGAACAATACAATATGCTCCTCCTCAAAATGCTGGACGAGCTTCCTCTCCGAGTACAGGTCATTCCATGGCAGCTCTTTGGTCAGTACCACGGACAACTCTAGTCCATAGTAAAACAACATCATGGCGTTTGACCTTTTTGCCAAATTCGCCTTGTCCTTCTTACGAGTACCGGAGGGCTTCCACAAGGATCTCCTTTTAACCTGACACGGGGCAGTACCGCAGTGACGGCAGATGGAAGCACCTGCAAAAACAGATATTTTTGTCACTATAAGTTTCCGAAATCCAAGGTTTACGTTTTTGACCACAAAACATCACTTCCCATGCATCCTGAGATTTTATCAGAACAGAATCGGGGACTGACAATAAGCTTTCTGACTGGTTCCAGACACCCAAGACTAACCAATTACAATGCTGCTAGAAAGTGGTACCCGTTCTTCAAAGATTATCAAAGAGCTACTTTGAAATTAAAGCCTGTTAATTTCAAAATATCACTGTACGTTACCAAACAATTCGCTGTAATGTTTAATCAAAACATTGATATGAAAACACAGGTATGCATGATACTGAAATGGTTTCCAAGCTAGCAAACGTGTATCATCCGGAAGGTGGCGCGTTAGGGTAGTCTTACAACACTGGGTTCATAAAGTTCATTAAAGGTACATTAATTTTCGAAAACATCTTAATTAAAAGGTCAACTGCTGCTTTATTCAATATTTTAACTTTCGCTGGTTACTTACGAGCTCTCCATTCTTGGAACATTGACACGGCGGCTGACCATTTCTCTTTCACGACTTTTCCGATCAACAGCGCATAGCCCAACAGCAGAGTTAGAAGCACACACAGCAGATTACAGAATACCTCATTCCCAATTCGCTAAAAAAAAGTAAAATCATACTTGTTTTCTGGAAATTATTCTATAATACAATCCAAGAGAGAGAGAGAGAGAGAGAGAGAGAGAGAGAGAGAGAGAGAGAGAGAGAGATTTAGTTGGTGAACATGAAGGAATGCAAGAAAATATACTCAAAATCTGTCAGTAACTCGAATACATTGCTGCGTCTGTTTGGCTATTAGGATGTTTTCTTGATAGGACAATTCATTATTACCGTGGCTGCAAGCCAAATGGAATGAAATTATTTAATTCGCGGTAGAGTTTAAATCTCTAATCCGCATAATTATTACAAATAAAAAGGAGTGATATGTTTCTTCGATAGAATGTTCACATTGACAGTGCTGAAAATCACTATAAGTATAATAACTTTGTGAGAAGGAGAATCAGATAAGCATCATCTCAAACATAATCTTACTTAATTATTAGTAAAAATAGTGTTGACGTTTTCATAACAGTCATTAAAATAACAAATATGTAATCCTTACCGATGTCAGATCGGCAACCGTTGGACAGACTTTCTCAATTTCTCCAGCGTTGAAATAATAAAACAATCTTTTGGCATATCCTGGCTCGGGCTCCACGCTACGGAGGTAAAATTACATACTGAAAATTAACTATTTCCAAACATTCAATGTTAACACATTCGTAATCTTGATTAAGTTATTGACATTTATTTGAGGTGTTTGCGAATGTCAAGTCATCTAAGATCTCATCCTACCTTGTCTGATCCAAACTTACCACGTAAGGTCCCGATATACAGCAGGCCCTTGGTGCATGGCGCACATCATTACCACAAATATCAAGAATAACTTGATATTCATTGTGGTAATCGAAGATTTAAACAAAAGAAGTAAATGTCAGGGGAGAGATTGATCATCTCCGCCTTCGCCGATTGCTAAGCAGCTTAGCAACAGGAATGTGACGTCACAAGTGGGTATCTCTATTTTACCGGTCATGACGTCATGGTATTGTCTTTTACCTAAAATAAAAAGTGCAAGCGGTTACACGTTGGTGACAATGTGTATGGTACCAAAATGTCTTCTGTTATGAGTCGAACCCTGGACTAGCGATTCTAGTAGGAGTCGAATTCGGGACTAATAGCGACAGGATATGTTTACCTTAGAATTCCACTAAAATTCGAACACGGCACAAGCGACACTTAGGTCCGTATTCATGAAAGCGTTCTCATGCTCAATCATCGACTATGTACTCAAACCAGTTTTCATGTAACTCACTTAATTCATGTCAAACGATCAAAAAGTCAAACGTAAACATTGGAAACAGTATACGGCCTTAATTTTTATCCAAATCATTGACAAAATGTTATTTCTGAAATATTGTTCTATTAGGAGTTGAAATCTGGACAAGCGACACAGGTCTTGCGCAGTGTGTCGAACCCATGTGCAAATTGAAATTAAAACAGCAGCACATTTGAGTTTCACAATGTAGTTATCCCCCTTTGACCTGGTCGCCGGTAACGAAAAGCATTCCGGCAAAATGTTGTCGTACCAAGCTGCATTAGAATGGAACATAGGGGAATTTCTTCACGAGATCCCATAGGAGTTGGGGTGTTCAAATGATGATCTCCACCGCATTTAGATTTGAACCGGTTGCAAGTTAATTACATTGTGCAGAGCACGTATTAAAAGAAATTAACACACATTCTGATATGGCGCCTTTCCGTCCATTCGTTCGCCCGTCCTTCTGAACTGATAAAGAATTTTAGGGTTCCCATTGCGTTTTTGATTTTCCAACCGCTTCTTGACTCATATAATTTACAGAGCAAACGGAATGCATATGTTTTTTCGAATAGTCAACACTTAAGCTTATACAAAATTTGATTTTTAAAACACACGCGAAAGCAACCGGGAACCGTCGGCACTTTCCGTAAACGCATCTTTTCTCGTTTTATGTAGGTAAACGTTGGCAGTTTCAGCGTCTTCAGCCTTTCTTGATACCACAGGTTTTCCATTTGTAAGACCTTCGGCGTGTTCAATTAAAACACACAAGTCCTCCGTTGTTCGAGAATGGTTTATTTCTCATTCATGTCTCTCGGAAGAGAGAGCCTGTAAAATATATATTTACACAATAGTCACTTCTATTGATAATCTGTAATAATGTACAAAGATGGTAATCAATTGTTCATTATGAACTTAATAAATGGTTATATATTATATATAGTATACTAGAATTTATAGTTAGTCTGTCTTACCAGGGCCTCGTCCGGGTGGTAAGTCCTTGGCAGATTATTGCTTCATCTAGCATGATCTGCTGTTCAGCTCGGAGTAACTGGGTAAGGGTTTGTGCTGTTTGAGGTAAAGTGGTTGCGCATGCGTCGTTCATATAGAACGACCTGCATGCACAATCTCAGGTATACGTTCTTTCACTCAGGTGTGACATAACATGCTCACATACATGTGGCACGTCCATAAATTACCATAGCTGTTAATAGGACGTAAAACACACACACACACACACAAAATTACCGTTCCAAATTAAAAGGAATTCCCGTCACCTTAATCCTGCAGGCGTATATCTGCCTATACGCTGGCACAAAGGCGAATCCTCCAAATTTTCAAACAGTAAAACAAAACAAAAACGAATCACTGCTTGTGGTTCCCCTTGTCCCCCTACAAACATCCTGCCCTGGACCCGCCCACAAATGAATCCACTCCGAACAAGGGCTAAAGTTAGTCCCCCGCCTTGAGAACTCTCTGTGAAGTGTACCGTTGGATGGATCATTTGCTCGGTTCCATTGACAAAGACAGACAATATAACATGTATACATCGCCTTGAGACTTTATCAGATGCGGAACAATAAAAAAAGCCGCACCCTTTTCAATTTCAATGAAATCGTTATACACCATATAGACGCTAGAGCCAGACCGGGATTCGAACCCGGAGTCGATCTATCACATTTATAGTTCCTTAAAATACGTACTTAACGCTTTAAAAAATTAAATTACATGTATATATACATGCATGGGGACTCCCATAACGTCATACATTGTTCTCCGTAAGTAACCCTCTCACCAGGAAAGTGAAAATTTTAACGGAAGTGCGTCAGAACCCCTGCTTTTACTAAAGACAAATAGTATTCCAGAAATATGTTTGATATACAGTATAATTTTGATGTTTTCTGATTCTAGGTGACGCTAGTATCTATCATGTCTAAACGTGAATAAACATACCGAATCGATCTGATGGAATGCTATTTCTCGTTGAGCCAGCTTTTCTCCCCGTGCTTCTATATTTGAAATTTATCAATGCCAAAATGAAATATTGGATCACGTCAATATTGGAAACATGCTGAAATATTAATGTCAAATGTCAACTTCTTCATTACCGTTAATGGTCTAATGTCATCTCCTCAACGCATTACGATTACAGAGAAATGTACACCGTCGCTAAACATACTCTTAGACGCACCGAACCAGTAAATCAGACATCAAAATGAATTGCTGAAAAGTCAACATCACTGGGATTCTTGACGTGAAATCAGCACTCCCATGACATGATTAGCATTGCCAGAATTGGAAACCATTTGACAGCACGCTGGCGGGAAAATATATTTTATTATTCCGTAGGGACTAAACGTCCTAATTCAAAAGATAGTTGGATGACGTTGATATAGAAACAAACCAATTAAGACTTAAAATATAAATATAAACAGTAGATTATTTTATCTGTATATATATGTGAGTGCGAAGGCTGATGGCGATGCCATTACGCTGCTGAAATCGTTACGCCGACAGCGCGCGATGAACAAAATCTCCCGCAGCTCTCGTTACCAGCGAGATTAAAGACACATAGAACGTGAGTTAACACACAATTCATTAGTTCAATTTTCATGCACATTAATTTTGTCATTAATAGCTGAAAAACAGGATTTATTTAGGCGTTAACGCCCAGACTATCGCGTGATGGAGTGTTTCTATTTGTAATATTACATCAGTGCTTTAATGAACGGCAATCAAGCTTTAATTCTTAGTTGACGCTATGACGTTGAAATTAGCCTCAACCCAGAGAAACATCACTGGTACTCTCTCTCTCTCTCTCTCTCTCTCTCTCTCTTCATATTTTGTTGTCTTAAAAGGTGACATTAGCCCTGAGATCTTCATCTCTTCGGAAAAAGACTGGTGCTTGTCACGCGAATTTCTGTGTCTTTCTTCGTATGAAAGTTCTTTACCTGTGTCATTTGGTGCTTAAAGATTATACGAAAGCAAAGTTATCAATCCATCCATCTTATGATCTGCGAATTAACTAAGTTGCGAAGCTCGTTTTATTACAAGCATTTTAGTACCATAAGAGGATAGCACGAATTGTGATTTTCGTCGTTCATCATGGCCTTGAGCATTCTCTATATTTCTCAACGCTCTAGTGTCCTGGTTGATAGCACACTAAAGGTGTACGTATTTGTTTAATACTTCTTCAGAACTTCATTGTCTTAAGGAAAACGCAAATGAGATACTTAAAGTGTGACGTTCTGTTTCTCTGATAGCTGTACCACTTTTACAGAATTAGTAGAGATTCACGCGTTATATCCCACTACATGATCGTATGAGGCGACTAATTTGGAGTTCCCTGCAGAATCGAGTGTTTCTATCGTGACACAGCTTGGGGGTCATTAAACAGAACAATGTTGATCAGTTGCACCTATTGTTATACGTAAATCCTTACATTGTATTGTCCATACAGGTATACAATTTGCCCATTTTTCTCATTCGTGTGCTTTTAATGTGTCCAAATTTGTGGTGTGAAGTTTCCCTTTCCCGAGGTCTTCATATATCCAAACTAGATACAGATATTCTTATATGTCCAAACAGGACATCAGAATATGGTGCGATTTCTCGTTCTAAAGGCTTCAGTGAACCCCTGAGATACCTCAATTGTGCTATTTAGATTTCATGTGTTGTTCTATGTGAATAGCGGCTACAATAACCGTGTTATTTCTTTTTAGCATGACCTCCGTGTGTCCCAATGGGATATAAGAATACTGCTATTTTTCATTCTAGTGGTCTTATTGCTCTCATAGAGAAGTCAGAATTGTGTTGTTGTTCCGTATCGGTCATGTCAGGACATGCCTCTATGTGTGTAGTGTATGTGTGCTGGAGACAGTGTATGTGTGTGTATCCTGTCTCCAGCACACGTACACACCTACACGCAAACACAACACACATTGGGCCACTCCTTACAGGACCTTAGCTGTTAACAGAACGTTAAATCCTATACAACCAAATGCAACCAAACAACCTACCGGAGAACCGGGTAGGGGTGCATTTTCACTAGCCACGTGTAAGTGGAATGTATACGAAGCGAACACTTGCATTGGCTAGCGAAGATGGTAGGGGTGGTTCGGCTATGGATTTTTTTCTATGCATGTCCGTCCATCCGTCCGTTACATTGTAAAAGCTCACTGTGTTTAACCCCGAAGACACATTTAAACTCCTCCAATTCAAAGGCTAGGATAGTTCATTATAAAATTTCAGGGGTGAATTAGTTAATAGTGATGTTAGGGTGACTATATTCTGCAAAGAGGTTCTTTTAGGGTCTATAAATAGTTAAGTTTAGTTAAACAGGATTTTTATTTATTTATTTGATTTCTTTAATTTTTAATTTTATTTCGGTTATTATTTTTTTTGCATGTTTTTGACTTAACTATCTCGGCAATGCTCTATAGGAAACACTTTATTTTAAGTTGTGAAAAGGCTCAACATTCGGTTAATAATAGTGCCGGAGGTTCTTGCATTATTGCTGTTTTATGAAATTAGGTTTCTTTTCTGTAAATTTTCGACGTATTTTTTATCTAACATTTTTGGCTCGAATTTGAAGATGAAAATGTTAATAGTCTTGAAATATCTCACTATTCACTTAAGAAAAGAATTTATTCATTGATTGGAATTTTTGACGTATTGACATTTTGACATATTTTGGGCTTAACTGTCATGGCAAAAAATTTAAGGTTAAGGTTTTGGCTTAATTTTTCTGATAGTTCACCATTTCCTTTAAAAAAATAGTGTTAGAATGCTGTTTCTGTGATTGTTTGGTGTATTTGCTATGGGCGCCGATAGAGGACATGTATAGGTTTATCAATACCTATAGAATATTTTCCTCTCTTTGCCTTTGTCTGAGTGTATCAATATTGGGATACCGTAATTGTATATTCTTCTTCCCTTAAGCCTCAGTATATATATAAAGGAAATACGATACTTGTATTTTTTTCACTTTTCCTTTACAATTGTCTATCAAAGAGAAGATACATGTATGTTTTTTTCGCTCTCTCTCTTAGATTTCATCTAACAATAGGTGAAACAAGTTCGCAATTTCCTGAGAGTGTGGTCGGGTGGTGCAGAGGATAGCGCACTTGCCTTTCACCAAGGCAGCCCGGGTTCGATTCCCCGATCGGACGTGAAAAGGTTTGGGGTCACCTGCACGCCCCGGGTACTCCGGCTTCCTCCCACATTAAGACCCCTGCGGGTTAACGTCTGGGCGAACAAGGGTGATTAATACAGGGTTTGCAAACTTGTTCCATATTTGTTGTAACATCAATAAAGTTTATAATATATTGGTATTTTATTTGTTACATGGTTGAGGTCGTACCAATATGTTGCACAACATGGTTCTGTATGTAAAGAGTCATACGAATCATTTGCTTTAGTTTGCAGGTTCGAGACCTACGTGGGGCAGCTGTCGCCAGATATTCCCGTTTTTGCTGTTTATAGGACGTATATGCAATCATTTATAAAAGAAAAACACATCTTCACAATACAAAACGCTTTGACAAAGCTGAGACAATGAAATTTAAAAGATATAAGCCCTTGACGTTCTCTTTGTCAGACTCCCTCTGGTATGGCTGCGTGTCAAAGTCGTGTTATGGCTTAAGAACTTGTAAAAAATATGAACACAAACTGTTTTACCGCCGTCATGTCTTTATCGTACTGACTTTCCCTAAATCCCATTCCTCCTTCAGCCAGACAAAAGTTAAAATGCTCGGCTTCGAAATTCGCAGACACTGAAATGAGACGTCTAAGGACCGTGCCGTTGTTGAAACGACTCCCTTGGTAAGTTGTAGTCTCGTCCTAAATGAATTATATTCTTGCGACAAACTCAACATTAGCGCATCTGTCTCCGATAACTACATGTACACCTCTTAGTCTACCTCAAAAAGTTGAAGGAGTGCGCTTATTAATAAGTTTACCGGTCGTAAAAGTACTCCGTCCAAGTTTGAAGAAATCCCCCTATCAAACCTCTACAATACTGAAGCAGGCAGTTTG